CTTACCAAAGACTTGTAACCAAGAAAATATTTCCCATCCAAGAAACAAAGAAACCCTCCAAATTAGGATTTAGAATAGAAGCTTAACATAATGTATATATGTTACGAGTCAAGTTGGTTTTTAAATCGAGTTCAAAATGACCCTCAGCAGAATTTTAAAGTTTGATACCGGCCGGGTTTTTTAATTGATTAATTTGACCCCTATTGCTAAATATAAATTTTAAATTAAAAAATATATATATATGTAGCTAGTATATATAAAAGAGGGTTCCTTTGTGACTTTTAATTAACAGTTTAAGTTGACTAAAAATAAGAAAGAAGAGGAAAAAATACCACAAGTTAGAAAAACATAATACTTGAAATTATACCAAACATGTCTATGGCAAATAGAAGCCAATAATTGTTACTAAAACCCTAAGCCATAAATCCCCCACTTAATTAATTACTTGAATAAAATATCCTAGCCCCAAAAAGGCTAGTTAAAAAAAAAAATCTATTCGCATAATAAGTACTTTAAATTCTATCCGCATTATAAGACTTTAAAATTCTATTCATTAGAGATCAGGTGATAATATATGCGGGTTCACTGGGTACCCGCAGTATGAGAACTGGAACCGGTCGGTTCTAAAAAACATAGAACTGGACTCGGCCCGATTGGCCGTTCCCGGTTCTGCAAAACACTAGGTATAAGCAGCCTAAATTCTTATAGGTTCGTTATAACCCGAGTTCGGTATAAAGGTTCGGTATATCCAGAGTCGACAGTACTTGTCGTTTTCTAAGATCTCATTGAACTGATATTTTTGAAATTACATTAAATGAGTTTATTAATATATCTTGAATTCAGAATTCTGGCCCTAATTAAGCGTCTCACGTAAAATTTGTTGTGCCATGTGGCATTCATGACATCTGCTGACTGGTATTAAGCAGTGTCAATTGTGTGTCAACCAATCAAAGAATATAAAGTTACTTCTATAATTAATTATCGGCCATTTTGTGTTAAAGATCGAACTTGAGTAATTTAACCTTACAATGGCAGTGAAAACACAGTTTCTTGTTGTTGGTATGTTGGTCAGTGGTGTGTGTAACACACTTCTGGCTAAATTTCAAGACATGCAATGTGTTTCTCACTGCGACGATCGGGATGCTTCAAAACGTGAATATTTCGAACAGCCTGTGTGGCAAACTTTGAATATGTTTGTCGGTGAAACTATGTGCTTTGTCGTTGCTTACGTCCTTTTACGCTGGGAAGTCTCTCAAAAAAAAACAACCCATGAACCCTTAGAAGTCGAAACCACACTTACTAACGATTCTGAAACAATTGCTGAAAGTGAACCTGTTAGTTCACCCATAAAGATTGACGATCCCTATCGCGGCCCTATGGAAGAATTATCTGGTTGGAGAGTATTCTTGTTCTGGTTACCTACAATGTGTGATATTATGGGAACTACTGTATGTATTGTTTGAAAGGTGCGCGTAAATATTCAAAGATAAATAGTATCTGACCATATTCTATTTCTATTTTTATAGTTTATGAATGTTGGCCTTATTTATACATCTGCCTCCGTCTATCAAATGTTACGTGGTGCAGTTGTGTTATTTACTGGCACTTTTTCTGTAGTATTTCTTCGTCGACGCTTGCTTCCATATCACTGGTTTTCATTGATCCTCGTAGTATTAGGTGTATCAATTGTTGGCATGAGTAACGTACTCTTTCCACCTGTAAAAGTCGTAGCTCCAATTGATTCTATATCCGATCGTGAAATACCCGTTGAAACAACTGATAATTCAATAGAAGCGATGGTTGGTGTTTTCTTTGTTGTATTTGCACAATTATTTACTGCAGCGCAGTTTGTTTTAGAAGAAAAAATTATGGAAAAATATCGTGTTAGACCAGTTTTGGCTGTAGGGTTAGAAGGATTATTTGGTTTATCTACAGTAATTGTTGGAATGTTTGTATTATATTTCTTGGTTGGTAAAACACATCCTGGTGGTTATTTTGACATTTCAGTTGGATTTAGCCAACTTATTAATTACAGAGGAATTTGGATTTCTGCTATTTCGATATGTTTTTCTATAGCTTTTTTTAATTTCTTTGGATTAAGTGTTACTAGAATTATTAGCGCTACTTCTAGATCTACCATTGATACTAGCAGAATTGTTTTTGTTTGGATGGTTTCTTTGTTTCTTGGATGGGAAATATTTTCTTGGTTACAAGTCTTTGGTAAGTGTTTCTTTTTTTTTTTATTTTATTTTATTTGCTAGATTTTCTTTTTATTTGTTAGATTTTCTTAAGTACATATATTAATCATTCATAATTAATTTCTTTTTTGTAATTTAGGTTTCATTGTTCTCATTGCTGGAACTTTCATCTTTAATGATGTAATGAGCCCGCCACCTTGTTTCACTGTTCCACCAAAAGAGTCTTTAGAAAATCAACCCTTGTTGCCTGAAGATCACGAACATCTCTAATTGATTTTTTTTTGTATATAATTTGTTGTTTTTTTTATAGAAAAATGTACTGTAATGGTAAATTTTTGATATAAAAACACACTAAGTATAAAATATATTTTTTTAATAAATTATTATTAATTCTATAGAAAAAAACGGTTTTACTAAATTACACCAGTGGTGTTCAACACCACAGTTGCTATATCTCAAGCTAACGCACGTCAGGGGTACTAAGCAAAAATGTTCACCCCCAAAAACCTCAAACTAAAATTTAGACCTATATCTTTACTATAGTTTAGGCTCCCTAACCCTAAATTTTACTACGCAGCAAAACTGTTAAAAAATATATGTGGTTAGTAAAATTTGGATAATTCTATAGCTGCCATGGGGCGCGGAGTGACTGATATTAACTCCGTTGTACGTAAATAAAAAAGGAAACTCTGTCCGAAATCGTTTCATACGTATTACAGTTCGGATTTTTTTTATAGCATATACACTCATCTATCTACTAGAATTGTCTATTTGCTTTAAAGCTTTACGAAAAGAAAAATGGAAGAGTTAAGCTCTGCTGGTAAAGCGGGATGTGATATTGCTGCAAATATTGCCGAAGCGATACCGCTTGTTAGTGTTATCGCGATAATATTTCGAGAAATAATTGTTTTAGCTGAAAAAGCAGGGCACAATAAAAGAGTTTGCAGAAGGTTGGCTGAGCGTGTACGTGTAGCAAATCAGACACTCAATCAACTTACTCTGAAAGATGAAAATGATTTGGCTTTAAAAAATTATGTTCAAGCGATAACGAATTGTAAAGAGTTTATTGAGAAGATTAGTCATTCCGGGACATTCATGAAATTAGTTACCGCTCATGAGGTAATATTGTGAATTTGTTTTAGATTATAATTTAATTTGATCATTATTGTACTAATTTTAACTTCTCGCTATCTGTTCCTAGATCGAAAGTGCGTATCAGAATGTCACTGACGAATTAGATGCCTCAATTATCCAATTAGGATTAAACGTATGCATCAGGACAAATAAAGACATTGAAGATGACCGTAAGTTATTCCTTTCAGAAATAAAAACTTCGTTTCAAGCCATTGAAGAAGTTACAAAAGATTTGTATGACGTTGGAATGGACATTCAACAAAAACTTAGCGTATTTGAAGCCAAGTTAGATACAATTCATACGGCAGTTGATAATGTGAGCAAAGGTGCCATAGTAAACAATCAAACTTTGGAAAAATCTTTAGAACAATCTAAAATACCTAGTAATCAAATTACAGATACTGATGAGGATGAGGTGAAGCGTGGTCATGTAGTGAAAAAGAAATATATCATGCAAGCAGTTGCTCAAAAGGAGATCGGACATATTTATTCTTTACAAAAATCCATAGATATCATTGAAAGAGAGGTTGCTATCCTCACAGAACTAAGAAATTGTCGAAATATTATAACATTGTAAGTCATGCGATTTCTTTTTAAAAAGCAAAGATTTTTTTCTAATAATTTACGAATCGTATACTGGCAGTTATGGTACAATGCAACGTGGTGGTAAACTATACATTATTTCAGAATGGGCAGAAATGGGTGATCTTTACACATACCTGCAAAAGCATACTGTGTCATGGAAGTTCAAGCTTAAAATTGCTTCTGAAATAGCTGGTGCCTTAGTTTTTTGTCATGTTTGTGACATATTGCATCATGATATAAGAAGGTTCGATTTTATAAAAGATTTTTAGATTGTTTCATAGTATTCACCAAGTATTTACCGAATATTTACCGAATATTTAATAATATCCTGTTTAACCTTCAGCCATAATATACTATTAACAAGTGATCTAACAGCGAAGATCAGTAATTTTAGTTCTAGTCGTAAAGAAAGTGATGTAACTACAAAGGTCAAAGACATCACACTTAGATACAGGTACCTTATTGATAAATATTCATTTATATTTATGTCCTTAGATGCTTATCATTTATATATTTCAGATGGCTCGCTCCTGAAAAACTCGAAAATTATAAAGATAATGAATATACTAAACAATGTGATATCTACAGGTGTAGTTTTCTTTTCATGATTTAAGAACCTTATTTTAATTCTAGAATTTTTACTTACCTTATTACCATATCTAAACAAATAATAGTTTTGCTATTGTGCTTTGGGAACTTGCCGCTCAAGAAGTACCATTTGCCAATGTTACGGTTGTCACTGACTTGATTACAAAGATAACGAGCGGAGAACGCCCACCACCGATAAATGACGCACCTCCTTTCTATCCTGCGTATGAAAAAATCATGCAGCAAGGATGGCAACAACGTCCAATAAAGCGACCAACTGCAGATCTCATGTTTAAAGAACTAAATAATCTTTATAAATCTATAAGGTCTCAATCAGGGTCAGGAGATTTTGAACCACCATCATCTTCATTCCTACGAAATGATTCATTTGGCTCTCATCAGAACGGTAATTCTCAAAAGGATTTTAATAATATAGAAGAAGGAATACGACAAATTGAGTTAAAGTAATTTCTTCATTTTTGAGAATGGTTATACCCTATTTATCAAATAGCCAACTTTATTTAGAATTTGTATTTTTAAAATTATACTTGTCACCCAAATCCCAAACTATTATAGTTTGGGTTTGTCTACGCCAAATCTCAAACCCTGGCCAAACTAATCTCTCAAAAACTTTATTAATAATTTTTACCTAAACAAACAAAATATATTCTTATAGTTATATAAAATATATTTGCAAAATATCAAATCCATTTAATTTTTATAAATAGCTTTTTTTTTTTTTTTTGAGGTTTGAGATTTGTCTAGGTTTTGCTGGCAAGTATATTTAAAATTATCATTTAAATTATCATTTAAAGTTTATATAAATATGTATTTTTTTTTATTTATTTATTTATGTACAGAATTAGTGAAAAAATTGAACAATTTTAATTTTTATTTTTGATTTTTGTTATTAATAAAAAAAATTAAATTTTATGATCAACTCTCTTTACAATGAACCGTAAAAATTTTTAGAGTTCATTATAGCAAAAATACCGTTCTTGATGGATAGTTGTTAATAGAGTTCTCCAAACTATAATAAAACATATGAACTACTCAGGTTTTAAACTGAGTGGTTTATTTGTTTTATTATAGCTTGGAGTAGAGACCTGCAAACTAATGATTTTTAAGGCCCGGCCTGGCCCGCATTTAATATTAAAAATTTTTTGTCGGCCCGCAAATATATAAACTTAAAAATTTTAAAATAATTTAAATTTGTTATTAAATGTTTATTAATAATTTTATTATTATTGAATAAATGTTAGATTTTTTTCTATCTGATAAACGATTAGTATGATTACTTTTTTTATTAAATGAGCGATTAGTATTAAATTATTTTTTTTTATCAGATAAGCAACTATATTCCTCCGAAAATAAGCACTCCCCGAAAATAAGCACCCCTGGCCCACACTATGCCAACTTTGGCCCGCTTTACGACAATCACGGCCAGCATTAAGTGCAAAAAAGGGGTGCTTATTTTCAGAGGAATACGGGTATTATTATTTTCGTGTAATAACGTGCAGGGGTGTAATTTTGAATTTTGGCCTAAATTAAGCTTAATTCGGACCAAAATTCGAAATAACGCTCATGGGCGTTATTACGCAAAAATACGGTAATAGCATAAGCGATTAGTATTATTAATTTTTTTTTTTTATCAAATAAGCAATTAGTATTATTACTTTTTTTATTAAATAAGCAATTTTTATTATTATTATCAAATAATCAATTAGTATTACATATTACTTTTTTTTTTGGTATTTATGTGGGGTCTTGCTTATGATTTTATTTATTTATTTTTTTTTTTAATATCAAAGTGACCTTATGGTCGGTTGCTTTTATTAGTTTATATGCTAAGCTGATCAAAATCAGCCGTTACTTATTTGGTACATGGTTTTGAAGAGTACAACTAGTCACATGTACAATTTTTGATTGTCTATTTAAATAGTCCGTCCAAAGATTTTACACTAGATATCATATCTATAATCCAACTAGAGGATTACCTATTTAAACCTTCTGTACTGCCACATTCTTATAAAGAACCAATACCTGCTATAGAAAGCATCCTAATCTAGAGCTAATTTATTCTTAAGATAAACTTGCTAGAATTTTTCATACCTACAATCTAGCTAATCTAGACTTTAGTAACTTACACCAAGTTCGAGAACAAGTACTTGCGAGCCGAAGTCACTACCATTACCTATTTCTGCTCTTGTAAAGTTTATCCAAACCCTAGTACCCACTTTATAGACTATTTTTATATTTTTTGAATTTTCAAACTACCAATTCAGATGACCTAGAAGGGCTGTAAGCTGCTTTTGGTCTCTACAGTTGGGTTTTTTTTCTCCAGTTACTCTTTTGGCAGCCTGGTTAGTAAAGTGTCTTACCAAACACTTCGGTTCTGTTCAGTAATTTGTTTTTCTAATAATAATCCTTTATATAGTATCGTCAAAGATTTGTATTATTTCTCTATCAGGTCTTGCCAAGCAGGCATCTATTTTTCTGGTTTCTTAAATTTATTATAATTTGAGAACTTATTCATATAACTCATATACTGTAAATTCTCAAAATAATGGGCAGAAGCATTAATTTGAAAATCATGCCTCCTAAAAATAGCATAGGTGGTTTCGAAATAATGTCCATGCATATCCTGAAATAACATGCATCTAATAGTAAAGAGTAGTAAAATTTAAAACAAATACTCCAGAACTAGGTTTGGTACTATATAAATCTACTTTTGAGCTTTAACAAAAGTTGTTCTTTAGATCAAGATGGTTCTAATAGTGTTAAGTTTATCAAGAATGACTTAGTATATCGTTCACAATAGCTCTCCAAAGTTTTGCAACTTATATAAACAAAGATAAACAAACGTTGCAAAACTTCGAAAAATCATTGTGGAGGATATACTGGGCCATTTTTAATGAATTTTAATTAAAGCCTGAAAGTAGATTTACTTAGCACCAAACCTAGTTTCAGAGCATTTTTATTTATAAAAAATATATATAATTTCTTATTTGTTTCAAAATAATACTCATGCACGTATTCAAAATAATACACAGATGCCTGTTATTTTGAAAATTTACAGTATTGCACAAATACTTTATGATTTTTTAATCTTGTTGATACTACTAAGATTACAAAGATTCTGTTTCAACTGATTAATGAAAGATAGTAGCTATCATACAAGTAGAATTTTTAAAATTTATCACTAGTGAGTTTTAAACCACCTACCTATCTAATATACTGCTTGGGTACGATAATTTAACCACTTTACTAAGTTGCTACACCTTTTTTTATGATTTTATTTATTAGTATTACTTATTACTACATTATGTATTATTTATATATCAAATGCATTAAGCTTAGACTTGAACTCTATTAGTAATCTATACTATGATCAAGATTAGCATTTGTAATCAGATATCTTTATCACTACTAGCTACCTATTCATTATTTGCAACCCAAATTTATTAAAGTGATAAGTTTTTATGAATATCATTGATTTAAAATTTTTTTTACTCTTCATCTATCCTACTTTAATATTTTATTTAATATATTCTCTGTATCTTTTATACTATTTATATCTAAGCTTTCAAATTTGATAATCTCTATAGATGGTCTCATAATCTTATTAGGTTATTTTTAATCTTGGTAAATTAGAGCTAATTTAGTTAATTAACTACAGTCAGGGATATTTCTATATTTGGGGGTCCCTTAAAGCAGGGCAGATTTCATATAATAATCTACATGCTGCATAAATTGTATTCTTGATATATAAATAACTTACTAACCTTAACTG